ACCGAGCGACAAGCTTACTTTGGTTTACCGGACACATGATTAGACTTTTATTAGCAGTTGGCAGAGGAACACTGGCAGACAATTCGGACACGATGGACTTTCAAAGGGATAAGAAACTCTTTTCCACTAGATACCCGGACCAGCTCACCGAGGCCCGTCCCCTACGTTGTTGCGCTGCGTCCACAGCCAGCTAGAGGCCCTCTCGGCTACCTCTCCCAGTTTTTTGAGTGCCCGTTTCCGTTCATTACCGCGCAATCCTAGTTCTTTTACCACATTGTAGAGCGAAGTGGAAACGAGGCCTCTCGCTCCCACTTCGACGGCAAATACCCGCACTGTGTAAGCCTCGTTTCTCCTCAAACCGGCTGCTAAATCACTGTACTTTTCGAGCTTGTACAAGTGATTCTCCTCCATCCGCGACTCAAACGGGACCGTCAACTCAATCAGGATGAGTTGCCGTTTTTGCGCAGAATGGAGAACGATGTCCGGTCGCAGGCCGGTTTTACGGATCAACTCGGGATACCGTTCATGTCCTGGCAGATCAAACGCCAGTAACCAGTCCCTCGCAGAGTCTAGCACAGATGGAGCGAATGCGTTTTTGTTGACATTACCTTTTGGAACCTGCCCAGCCTTGAGGAAACGAATGGGGACGATACTAGAACTGGCTCTGGCATTAGCCCTCATTCTAGCCTGGTCGACAACGGCTGCTAACTCCTTTAGCACCTTGTTGTGGCGCCAGGTGTATCGGCCTTGACCTAGAGCTTTCCTGCACGCGGACAGGACGTGCTCAAGAGTTTGCTTCGATTTGCACAACGGGCAAGTCGGATCGTTGGTCGCAGACCATTTAACCATGTTAACACCGGACGGTAATACATCGTACGCCGAACGAACGATAAAGCTCAGTCGCAGCGGGGTCATCCGCCAGATCTCACCCCATGTGAGTATTCTCGGCAATGCGCTCTCCAGGCTGACCCAATGGCCCTGCTGCGACTGCTGGGCAGCTTTCTGGACCCGAACCTCGTTTTCGTTGTCCCTCACCGTTTGTATCACCATGTCTCGGCGCTCTTTGGCTGAGGCCTTTGACCACCAATTGACCTTCCCGTGCCCTAGGCCTCGACGGTCGGTTTGTGTGTAACCCATTACCTCCTTCAATTTTAGTGCGTTCTGAGCAGATTCAATCGCATCGAGGACCCTCCACTTCTGGCCAGTCTTTAGAGCGGGCTGGACAGCGATGACATTTGGGTCTGAAGACTCGCGCAAGAGCATGGCGAGCCTTACCTTGCCGACTTTAAACTCTTCGGTTATTGACTTGAACGGAAGTACCAGCTTAGCCTGCTTACAATACAGAGCCACGTCGGTCAGACAAGGCGGTGCACCAATCCACTTTCTTAAGGCTGTGTTGATTTTCTTTTCCATGGTTTCCACTGCAGTCATCGTCACCTCGTAGACTAGCAGTGGCCATAGAAGCTTCGGAATCAACATGAATTGGAGACACCATACCTTGAATTTTCCGATCAGCCTGCATCGCTCGATCGCGAGCAGGCCTGTAGCCAGTGACTCATGTATTCGCCGGACTTCCGCTCGGTCAGATAACTTCGAATCGTAGACGCGACCGAGGCTCTTCACCGGTTCCTCCAGAACCGTAGGGATCTTGTTCCTTGCCACCGTAAAACTGGTCGCCGAAACCTTGCCCTTATGGATTGACAGACTCCTCGACTTCTGCGGTTTGAACTGCATACCGCTCCATTGGACCACCGCGTCCAATCTATTCAGGATCGTGCGGGCAGACTCCTCGCTGCCCGTTATAATAGTCGTGTCATCCATAAATGCGCGCAGTGGCGGCAACCAGTGATCCCCTATTTGAAGGCCCAGTCCGTAGCCGGCCGGCCCGTCCAACATGATCTGCATTGCCATGACAAACAGTATGGGTGAGATCGTACAGCCCATAGCTATCCCAATCTGCAACTCAGTCCACCTCGTGGTAAACGTCGAGGTAGAGAAGCGCAAAGCGAACTTAGAGAAATATTGCTCGACCATTTGACTGATCTGTGTCGGTACGTGAAACATGCGAAGGGCTCGCCACAGTAGCCTATGGGGGACTGCCCCGTAGGCGTTGGCTAAGTCCAACCATATAACGTGCAAATCGGTTCTCTCATGCTTGGCTCTCTGGATAGCCTCCCAAATCATGGTCGCGTGTTCAAGGCACCCAGGAACGCCTGGAATGCCACCCTTCTGAACACTCGTATCTATGTACTTGTTAGTCATCAGATACTGTGTGAGCCGGCGAGCCATGACTGAGAAGAATATCTTACCCTCAACATTCAACAGCGAGATGGGCCTGAATTGGGAAAGACTCTTCGAGTCCTGCTCTTTGGGAATGTAGACCCCATTTGCCTTTGACCACTCTGGACATATGTGATTGCGGATCCACGCTTGTCTCAACAAGACGTGAAGCATTTTAAGGATTTTCGGGCAACGCTTGTAAAGAACGTACGGAACACCGTTCGGACCTGGGGCAGACTTGCCGCTGGCTTTTTTTCACAACGTCCTCAACCTCAGACCAAAGGGGAGGTACCAGTTTTAAATGGTACCTTCGGCACCGAAGGCTGTTTGAGTCCGCTAAGGATCTCTGGATTGTCATCGAGAGGCTCACTCCTCTTTTTATCCGAGTACATCTTGCGTAGATGTAGCTCTAGTTCTTCCTGACTGACAACCAGAGTCCCAGACTTCGGTTGCTCGAATAGACCTCGGGCGAACTGATACGGGTCCCTAAAGAATTTCTCTCGCTCCCTTTTGGTTCTGCGTCTGTTGTTACAGAAACGCTCGGCACGACAGAGGGCACTGTGTTTGTTCTTTAAATGCAACCAAACTTCGTACAGCCCCTCCCGTTCGCTGCCTGTAGCGGCTTTGAACCGTTTTCTGAGGGCATTCTTGTCTGCCCGACACTTCAGAATGTCCCTCTGCCTCCTGCTAGTATTCTGCTTGGCACCCGGCTGTGCCTTTACTACTGTCCCGAACTCGCGGGAGCAGTGTTCATATATTACATCACCAAATTTAGTAAGCTTGTCGCCTAGCGACTTCTTGTTAAGAGTTTGTTTAAGTACCTCACATAATGTAGCCTCCAACTTACACCACACCACCTTCTCGCTCGCAGGTGGAAACCTGATCTTGGAACGCACTTCTTCAGAAATCATCAAAGGTGCTCCTCCGCAGTCGACGTCATGGGCCTCTCCGGGCGAGTGGGGTTCACCCTGCCCGTCGTACCCTGACGACTCAGAAACTACCACAGGAGTGGTAGTTTTGCGGCGGCGTTTACTGCGTGGAGCACCCTCGCATTTCATTCTTCCGGCATGCGTTCTCAGACCATGCAACCCCGTGAAGCTTTTCCCACATGTACAGAGCCAGCCCGGACGTTGGGCGAGTATCTCAGTCCGGGGGCTAGCAAAGTCGTCACAGAGGGTATCAATCAAATTGGGCCCTTCATTCTCTCCCCCTTTCGGAGGGCCCTGGGGGCATATTTCTTTGTGGTTTAACGCAATCGGAGGTATTATACTGTGTTAGAGGTGAACAACCCGGTCCACAGTCGACATCTGTCTCCAGATGTCAGTTTATCCCCCCGGCGATACCGGGGGGCCAGTCTTTCCATAGGTGTCAAAAGGTCTTTCCCGATAGTCACCAGTCTTTCCTGGTAGTCTTGTGGGCTAGCCACGTACAATTGGAATAAACTCACAGGGAGCAAGTACAGCGGGGATCTACAGTCATCAGTAGAAATTATCCTCTTTCGACACACGTTTCGGCCCACGATTCCTAAACGTATTCGGAGGTGAATGCGTTTTTGTTGACATTACCTTTTGGAACCTGCCCAGCCTTGAGGAAACGAATGGGGACGATACTAGAACTGGCTCTGGCATTAGCCCTCATTCTAGCCTGGTCGACAACGGCTGCTAACTCCTTTAGCACCTTGTTGTGGCGCCAGGTGTATCGGCCTTGACCTAGAGCTTTCCTGCACGCGGACAGGACGTGCTCAAGAGTTTGCTTCGATTTGCACAACGGGCAAGTCGGATCGTTGGTCGCAGACCATTTAACCATGTTAACACCGGACGGTAATACATCGTACGCCGAACGAACGATAAAGCTCAGCAAGATAAAGAGGAGCAGTGCTCTCTGTTAACCTGACGGAGCTTGCCCATTAGACCAGCTACCAAAGACTACTAAGGGCCTGGTATGCCCTTTCAGAAAATTAAGTGTATATCTTGCATTTCCTCTTCCTAGGTAAGAGTAAAAAGTAAAGGTCCCTTTTCCCCGCCTTTAGGCGAATAGGGCATATGGGGCTAGGCCTATATTTTTATAGACCAATCGGCACAAGATGTGTGATGTGGTCAGTATCACGCCAGCCGCCTTTACTTCCCTAGACTACACCCGGTACCCACTCCAGGCTGGGTCGACCTGGGAGTCATGGTCATTTTTTTAAAAACGTCCCGCTCCGCCAGGGAGCGAACCCACGACCTTCTGATCCGCACGCGAGCGTCTAGCCTCAATGCGCTCCTGCGGCCGAAGCCGTTGACACAAGTGGAATGTTAGGCTTGTTATATGCTGCCCTGGTATCTGACCACGCGGCCTACGTCTGTCCGTCCGTCCGCTCTTCCTAGCTACCCACCTACCTAGCTACCCACCTATCTACCTAGCTACCCACCTGTCCACCTAGCTACCCACCTGTCTTCCTAGCTACCCACATGTCTTCCTAGCTACCCACCGGTCTACCTAGCTTCCCATTTGTCTACCTAGCTACCCACCTATCTACCCACCTATCTACCCACCTATCTACCTAGCTACCCACCTGTCTTCCTAGCTACCCGCTTGTCTTCCTAGCTATCCACCTATCTGTCTCTGTGACTTCAATTCTTCGATACTCCAGAGAGTATAATTACGTCATGCACTGCACAAGACGGCCTTAACTCTGCTTATCCAATATTTGCATCGCTAATTTATGACTCCCTTCACAGCTGAGCCGCCAGCCTCCGAGGCACTCACCCATGGAATATTTCCAACGGATACAGAACAATATGGGTAATCACGCTCATTTGATGGCAGGGCTGTGTCAGTTATGTTATGTTATGTTAAATTATATATGTTATGTTATGTTAAATTATATGTTATGTTATGTTAAATTATATGTTATGTTATGTTAAATTATATGTTATGTTATGTTATGTTAAATTTTATGTTATGTTATGTTAAATTATATGTTATGTTATGCTATGCTATATTATGATATTACAAACGTCGTCACTGCACTTAGGGCACTCCCATAAATGCACAGTTCTTGTATGCAGTAGCCACTCCAAAGTATCTCAGCTGATTGCTCCTATGAGGAGCTGGTTATAATGCCTCCTGTCGTGGTCTCAAAAGCGGCCTATTCGGGTGCTTCACCGTGCTTTACTTGCAGGTCACGCAATCGTGTTAGTGTCAGAGACACTAGCCCAGTCCGTACAGCACGATGTGTGCATGTCTGTTTTCCCAATCTGTCAAGCAACAGGAACGATTAGATTGTGCAACACCGCCTTACACAAAGTCTTGAGCTTTACGATTATAATGAGACATTGTGTAAAACGTTAGCCAAGTTAGTATAAGTGTTGGCAGCACCACAAGAAGGTGCCCCAAAGAAAGAAAGAAAGAAAGAAAGAAGAAAGAAAGAAAGAAAAGAAAAAAGAAAGAAAGAAAGAAAGAAAGAAAGAAAAAAGAAAGAAAAGAAAGAAAGAGAAAGAAGAGAAAGAAAGAAGAAAAGAAAGAAAGAAAGAAAGAAAGAAAAGAAAGAAAGAAAGAAAAGAAGAAAAAGAAAGAAAGAAGAACGAAAGAAAGAACGGCACGAACGCAACAGGACAAAGACAACAGAAAGACAGACAGACAGAAAGACAGACAGAAAGAAAGACAGAAAGAAAGACAGACAGAAAGACAGAAAGACAGACAGACAGACAGACAGACAGAAAGAAAGAAAGAAAGAAAGAAAGAAGAAAGAAAGAAAGAAAGAAGAAAGAAAGAAGAAAGAAAGAAAAGAAAGAAAGAAAGAAAGAAAAGAAAGAAAGAAAGAAGAAGAAAGAAAGACAAGAAAGAAAGAAAGAAAGAGAAAGAAAGAAAGAAGAAAGAAGAAAAAAGAAAGAAAAGAAGAAAGAAAGAAAGAAAGAAAGAAAAGAAAGAAAGAAAGAAAGAAAGAAAGAAAGAAAGAAAAAGAAAGAAAGAAGAAAGAAAGAAAAAGAAAAGAAGAAAGAAGACAGAAAGACAGACAGAAAGACAGAAAGACAAAGAAAGAAAGAGAAAGAAAGAAAGAAAGAAAGAAAGAGAAGAAAGAAAGAAAGAAAGAAAGAAAGAAAGAAAGAAAAGAAAGAAAGAAAGAAAGAAAGAAAGAAAGAAAGAAAGAAAGAAAGAAAGAAAGAAAGAAAGAAAGAAAGAAAGAAAGAAAGAAAGAAAGAAAGAAAGAAAGAAAGAAAGAAAGAAAGAAAGAAACAAGAAAGAAAGAAAGAGAGAAAGAAAGAAAAGCACCAAACCTGTATACAACCAACCACTCATACCCAACGAACAAGTAAAGCGAGATAAAAAGACCAGATATACGTTAAAAAAAAGGGTACCTCATTGAGTTTCTATTAATTCCGCCATACAGGGGTCGATAAAAGGCAGTATCGATTTACCTCCGATACCAGTAACATTGATATCTGTCACGTGACAGGGGGTTTAATGGTACTTCTTGACTGATGACGTTTGGAAAAGGCGAAATGCCTAGACAAGCTTCGCAGGGATGTATTAGCGGTTAATTTTTCTGCTGCCCTTTCCTATTCAATTTCCGTCTCTCTGTATATCCTTCCCCGACCATTTTTCCCTGCCCTGCCTCAAACAATTAACATCACCATCCCTTTCCCCCACACCTGTCCCAAAGTATTGCATCACCATCTGTTCTCCGTGTCTTTCTGTAAGGATTTATTTCTCAATCAATGGTTCCAGCCTAATTAGTTCACATGTGCTTTCTTGGTCATGGTCAGTGTTTTTTTATGTCGAAAAATGCGCATGACGTTGGCAAGCGTGCCGATGTATTTAAAAAATAAAACACGCTAGCGCGCACGCACACACACACACACGCGCACACACACACACACACACACACAATAAAGAATAGAAACTCCTATAACCATAAATGAATATATTCATTCCCTGTTTCTTTGTGATTGTAATTAGGAGTTTGTGTGTGTTTATTCTTCTTCTTCTTCTTCTTCTTATTATTATTATTATTATTATTATTATTCCTCGTTTTCTTCTTCTTCTTCTTCTTCTTCTTCTTCTTCTTCTTTTCTTCTTCTTCTTCTTCTTCTTCTTCTTCTTCTTCTTCTTCTTCTTCTTCTTCTTCTTCTTCTTCTTCTTCTTCTTCTTCTTCTTCTTCTTCTTCTTCTTCTTCTTCTTTCTTAGCTTGTTCTGAAGTTGAAATTCATGATCACGACTCTAATCCTGTTATGCTCTATTTTAATGCGATAATATCATAACTGCTGTATTTGTTACCTTGTGGTTTTAAACTGTCTTCGTTTGTTATGACCGCCACTATCGTTTCAAGAATTTTACCGAATGTATTCTGTAACTGAATAGTTCTATAACCCTTCAATTTGGTATTATCTTCAATTGGCATCGAGAGTGTCATGGGGTAACTATGCAGCCAATTCACTGAAACTGACGCTGTTGCAACACTGTTGTTGAAACATGACGTCATTTCCCCTAGTTTTTCTTTACTCCGTATTCTGTCTGCCTCATTTGCTAGCGTGCTCGATAAAATTTAATTCGTCTGGTCATGTTGACTTTGAGGTGTGATATGTATCAATGTGTAGTACCAAACATAGGTGTATCATCTCATTTAAATAGAGGATTTAAGGATCAGAGTAGTAATCACGAGTGTCTGCTTCAGAGCAAGCAGCGCAAGGAGACGTAGAATAAACACACACAAACTCCTAACTAAAATCACAATGAAGCAGAGAATGAATATATTTGTCCATGCCCTGGTATATCTCACACCTCCAAATGCGGCTGTCTTTGCTGACTTGAGGTTCATTGATGATTTCCGGGCAAGTGCGTGCCTGTGTCGTGGTAACACTTTCAGCTGGCATTACCTTGCTGTTTGTCTTCTTCTCTGTCATGACTTCTGCAGCGTTCTTCTCTGTCATGACTTCTGTTGCGTTCTTCTCTGTCATGACTTCTGCTGCGTTCTTCCTTATTCTTCTCTCGATTGCTTCCCTTTGTTTCCTTCTATTAAGAGACACAACAACGAAGACCCCGACAATAAGAAAACATTGGAAAGGCTCTACATCCTTACACATTTTATGAATAGGGCTCAAGTTGTGTTAGGAGGGTAATAATAATAGTAATAATTAGCTGAGAGTGTAATAAAATAATAATAATAATTAGCTGAATGGCGAACAATATAATAATCTACTCGAAATAATAAGATACATATTAAATAAATCTTTAAAAAAAAAGAAATTCTATGCATGTATTTGGTGGGGGGGGGGGGGGGGGGGGAAACACCTTAACCCGCGATCCCCCCTCCCCCTCCCCACCCCCACAAACTGGCGGATGAGACATCTTTAGACACATAATTTTTTTTAATAGTAGGCCAACTTATTGTTTTTTTCTTTTGATTTTGGCCTTGATCTTACTGTTTTTTTATTAAAATGCTTTTAAGCTCTGAAAAACGTCTAATACGTGATGTGGTTGTCTTCTTTATTCTGTTTTTTTTTTTTTTTTTTTTTAATCTTTGAAAATATAATCTTAGGTAGACAACTCTGGCTTCTGTTTGTAAACATTAGACAAACTGCATAAAATCATCGATTATAAACGTCCTGGCAGGCGTTCTTCCTGCGTGATTTATCACCATGTGGTTTTCATTCGGCGGGACCCCTAAAAATGAAGCTTTCGATGAGGCAAAGATACCCAATAAACATGCTTACATAATGAACGCTGTATAAACCTGGTTCAGTGAGCCGCCACAATCCTGTGTTGTTGTTTTCTTTTTTTTTCGCACGGCATTCACCCCCTACCTAAGCAATGGGATGCTTACTTAAATGCCTACCGCGACTTTTTCTGACCAACCAGTAGTGGATAATACATTTGGGATTAGTGTTTTTCTTTAAATTCTTCCCCATGTGTCGTTGCGTCTTTCATGCTTTTATAATAAACCATAGGAACGGGTTTTAATGACAGCTCCGTATACATTAACTCTTCCCCGTGTGGGTTCCGGGGCCTTTTAGAGGGAAAACAAGAATAGACCCAATGCCTACCCAAAAGCATGTCGTAAGAATCGACTAATGGGGAGCTTCCTTTAAAGTCGGATGCATCTGCCTGAGAGGCAAGGAACCAGCAGTCTGCATAGAAATGAGTCAGATCTGTAAAACGGATGCACACGCAACACTCAGGTTCTGAAACAGGACTACAATCCAGAAAAGGATAAACAACCAGAACCTTCCGCCAGAGTTTACAGCTGGTGAAACGCGAAGAAGAAGAAGAAGAAGAAGAAGAAGAGAAGAAGAAGTGAGAAAGAAGAAGAAGAAGAAGAAGAAGAAGAAGAAGAAGAAGAAGAGGAGGAGGAGAAAGGACGGAGGAGAGAGGAGGAGGAGGAGGAGGAGAAGAGGAGGAGGCAGAAGGAGGAGGAAGAAGAGGAAGAAGAAGAAGAAGAAGAAGAAGAAGAAGAAGAAGAAGAAAAGAAGAAGAAGAAGAAGAAGAAGAAAGAAGAAGAAGAAGAAGAAGAAGAAGAAGAAAGAAGAAGAAGAAGAAGAAAAGAAGAAGAAGAAGAAAAGAAAGAAGAAGAAGAAGAAGAAGAAGAGAAGAGAAGAAGAAGAAGAAGAGAAGAAGAAGAAGAAGAAAGAAGAAGAAGAAGAAGAAGAAAGAAGAAGAAGAAGAAGAAGAAGAAGAAGAAGAAGAAAGAAGAAGAAGAAAGAAGAAGAAAAGAAGAAGAAAAAGAAGAAGAAAGAGAAGAGAAGGGAAAGAGAGAAAAGAAGAGAAGAAGAAAGAGAAGAAGAAGAAGAAGAAGAAGAAAGAAAGAAGAAGAAGAAGAAGAAAGAAGAAGAAGAAGAAAAAGAAGAGAAGAAGAAAAGAAGAAGAAGAAGAAGAAGAAGAAGAAAAGAAGAAGAAGAAGAAGAAGAAGAAGAAGAAGAGAAGCTAAGAAGAAGAAAGAAGAAGAAAGAAGAAAGACGAAGAAGAAAAAAAGAAGAAGAAGAAGAGAAGAAGAAGAAGAAGAAGAAGAAGAAGAAGAAGAAGAAGAAGAAGAAGAAGAAGAAGAAGAAGAAGAAAGAAGAAGAAGAAGAAGAAGAAGAAGAAGAAGAAGAAGAAGAAGAAGAAGAAGAAGAAGAAGAAGAAGAAGAAGAAGAGGAAGAAGAAGAAGAGAAGAAGAAGAAGAAGAAAGAAGAAGAAGAAGAAGAAGAAGAAGAAGAAGAAGAAGAAGAAGAAAGAAGAGAGCGAAGAGAAGAAGAAGAAGAAGAAGAAGAAGAAGAAGAAGAAGAAGAGAAGAAGAGAGAAGAAGAAGAAGAAGAAGCAGACGAGAAGAAGAAGAAGAAGAAGAAGAAGAAGAAAGAGAAGAAAAGAAGAAAGAAAGAAGAAGAAGAAGAAGAAGAAGAAGAAGAAGAAGAAGAAGAAGAAGAAGTGAAGAAGAAGAGAAGAAGAAGAAGAAGAAGAAGAGAAGAAGAAGAGAAGAAGAAGAAGAAGAAGAAGAAGAAGAAGAAGAAGAAGAAGAAAAGAAGAAGAAGAAGAAGAAGAAAGAAGACGAAGAAGAAGAAGAAGAAGAAGAAGAAGAAGAAGAAGAAGAAGAGAAGAAGAAGAAGAAGAAAAGAAGAAGAAGAAGAAGAAGAAGAAGAAGAAGAAGAAGAAGAGAAGAAGAAGAAGAAGAAGAAGAAGAAGAAGAAGAAGAAGAAGAAGAAGAAGAAGAAGAAGAAGAAGAAGAAGAAGAAGAAGAAGAAGACATTAACCCTTATGCTCTTTAATTTTTGAATACTTGCTACTTCCGTTGAAATCATCTCGATCTTTCCTTGGTGCAGACTGGCAGGGATCCCTTGTGTCATCGTGGGTGGTATCAACAAAAGTGCAGCGTACGAGATAGGGAAGTCGCTGAACAAAGAGAGGATGAGTGCCCAGTGGAACGCTGTCTTTGTTGGTGGCAATTGGCGGTTCATCGATGCATTCTGGGCCAGCGCCTGTGTTGTGGGCAAGAAAACAGGTCAGTGCTATAAAGTTGTTTATGTGAAAATATTTGCCCGGCTCTCTAGCGAAGTTGGTTAAACCTGACTTTCGCGGCGGCCGGGTGACGAACTCCTTGTGGTCCGGGTTCACTCCCGGGGGTAGGCAGAAAAGCCACATTTCACCCAGATTAACGGTACCTATAATGGAATCAATGCCAAAGGGTTGCGATATCCATAGTACTGAGCCAAAGGGTTTACAACTCATGGTTTCTGGATACGTTAAAAAAAATGTGAAAATATTTGTCTAGCTGATCGTCTTTGTGAATACATGTGTGTATGTATGTATGTATTTAGAGGGAGGGGGGAGGGAGGAGACTCAACTTCTAAAGAGTCGATGAATATAAATAGAGTTGAAGAAAGAAATTAGGCTTAGGTTAGACAAATATTTCAGCCACATGAAGACATAACATTTGTATTTGTAAAAAAAAAAAATAATCATATCAGGAAAGGTTGGGAAGGGGGAGGGGTGGAGTAGGTTGTAGGCAGGTGAGCTAGTGCGAGGTGACTGTATCCTAATAGTGGTTCACTGAGTCACTGAGTATCAAATCTTCTGATTGCAATCCTGAAGAGGGGAAATGTTGGTGGGTGGGGAGGGAGGAGAGAATAAACTGCCGAAAGGCCTAGAAAATTAGCTCTTATGTTTTGGTATTTTATGCTATTAGATAAGAGTAAAAGACACTATTTCCACACAAAAAAGCGTTATCCTGTAATTGTCGAACAGAGCAAGTCAGATGGTTTTGAACGAGGCAACATATAAACATCAGAAAGAGACAGTCCTCATGTTTGGTCATTTTATGGGGGAAAAGGAACATGGTGTGACCACTGAAAAGATCTTTGCACACAAAAGGAGAGAAAGAGAGAGAGAGAGAGAGAGAGAGAGAGAGAGAGAGAGAGAGAGAGAGACGAGAGACAGAGACGAGAGACAGAAGAAGACAGCGTGAGAAGATTCTCTTTTGTCATGGCATGGACGGTTGTCGCCACACGAACTGATACATTCTGTTGACGATTGTAGTATGTTGAGAGGCATGATCGTCCATGAAAGTCCGCAAGGCACTTCATGATGATGTTCAATCCTTCAATTCCAACCCTTTCCCTATTTCTCGTTCATAGCTTGCATTACAGAAACATATCGATTCCATTTTCTTTTTAGGTGAGTGGGCGCTGGTCGATGCAGACGGCGATGTCGAAGAGCAAGAAGAAAACGCCAACGAGGGAGAAACACAACACAGAATCAACGAATTCTATTTTTTCCCGGACCCTGATCAGTTAATCTGGACTCACTTTCCTGACCAACCCCAGTGGCAGCTACTGGAAAAAATTGTCACCCCCAAGGAATTTGAGACACATTTCTATGTTAGAGAAAGATTTCACATCCTAGGTTTGTATTGAAATCTTCTTCTTCTTTTTCTTTTTCTTCTTCTTTCTTCTTCTTCTTCTTCTTCTTCTTCTTCTTCTTCTTCTTCTTCTTCGTCTTCTTCTTCTTCGTCTTCTTCTTCTTCTTCTTCTTCTTCGTCTTCTTCTTCTTCTTCTTCCTTAAGCTTTTGTGAGCTCCAGCGGAAAGTCTTGGTTGTTGGTCCATTTAACTTGGGCTTTGTGCCAGGGCCTGAGTTTTTTAGTACATTCGTTTCACTGGCTTATTAGTGTTCCGGGGCCGTCGGTATGAAAGGTCTAGCTGCTGACCGTATCAGCTTGACGTGACGTCACCACCGCGGGCTAACAATATGTTCCGTGTTCACTCTGACAGCCACATTTCTTCGGTGTTATTCCGGTCGTCCCCTGAGTACTAGCCCACAAAGACTATAGCAGTAAGCTCAAGGCTTTTCAAATCTGGCCTAGCGGGTTGCCGGCGGATCATTTGTGGTTGTACTGAAATAATGGTCTTTCTACGCTGGGCCTCGGACCTCTTGCCAATAACGATCCCTAATTTCACAGTGTTGGCATCTGAGTAAACTTAAATTGACTAACTTAGTTGAATAGCCCTGGATATGGGTATTCACAATATGGTATAGAAACAGAAAACACAACAGAAACTACTTACATTTTTGCTGTCCCATAATGTAGTCACATACGAAGTGAAATTAGAGAGTTTTTTCTTTTCCTTGTATGATTTATCCAGCAAGGATGCATCGTTTTAGATTTTTGTTTAGTTAATCGAAAAAACATTTGCCAGAGATGGCAGCGCTTTGGAAGCAGTGTTTACTTTAGAACGACCCTCAGCACAGACACCACCTATTCTATCATTGAAATATTTGTGTAAACTGAGTGAAACAATATGCATAGGCAATTTTTTGGTGATGTTTATAGGCTATAAATTTTGTTTCCAAATCAGCTGATATAAGCTTTTGCATAGCTGCATATGCTACAAAAGTCAATGAAATTGTAAACTTTGAAGGGTATTTCAAACCTCCACTGTCAAGCAGCTGTATGTAGTCTGTGGACATTGCACCCGAGTCAACATCATATGCTAATTGCCTGTCCATCTGCAGTAAACTCCTGCACGCAGCACGTTGATGACTCCTCTGAATCTTCCGAAACCAATAATTCACAGTCATTTGAGTTTATGTAGGGGGGGGGGGGAACAGTGTTCACGTCCAACTGAACCCAATTAGTAATTATGTCATCCCCATTTTCCACTTCATTGCTGCTAAGAATCTCTAAGAGGTTATGGATAGGAAAATTTCCATAAGTTGATGAGGACATACTTAGCAGTGAGTAAACGTTTAGTTTCTTTTCTGCTTCTAAAACTTGCTGAACAGCTTTTATATAGTTTGCTCCTGATAACTGGCGATATTCGCCAAACCAAGCTTTTAAGTTGTCAGTCTGCAGCTTTCCAAGAAGTATAAAACTGGCTTCTGTGGTTGCAAGCAGATATTTGATTAGAGAAAGCATTGTGCTCACTGTATGCAACAGAGCACTGTGTGTTTCCTTGGTCAGTTTTTCTTGATAGCCAATCAGCTTGTCCATCATCATTTGACAATATAGGATTTGAGAATGAGTTCAGTGTCTTTTTACCTACATATTTACTTTTTACATTAACAGTATGCGACCATCTAAGGATGACCTCAAATACAATCTGCTGTTTCATCACTGCCCACTAGACGCAGAGCAGGAATATTATATTCATTAAAAACTGCCAAAAGCAAGAGGAACATTCTGTCTGTCCATGCTGGAGGGATAGATGGCTTTGTGGGAAAGTTTAGGTGCCAGTTTTGCAATATTCTTTTGCTCACTAGAATACAGTTTCTTTAAATGAGAAAAGTTTAGTTCTGCAGCTCTATCAGTATCACAGGCGTTTTGCATTTGTCCAGTTATTAAAGAATAAGTAAATGTCTGGTCTGTGTTTTCTGGTTGACCCAGTTTCTCCAAATGCATTTTAGCAAGTGCACAGAATCATGCAGTAAAATATGTGTTTATCAGCAAAATCTGGGTTCTCGGTAAATGTTTGGCTGGGTTTCAGCAGATCAGTGTAAACTCTGTCCCCAGAGTGAGCAATTGTAGTAATTGCAAATTTAACAAGTATTTCATCTTTCTGAACAACTGCAATCTTTCCTAGCTCAGTCAGTTTGTCGTGTTTCAATTTCAAGTACTGTGAGATGCTGACAGTATAAGTAGACAATGACATCTGTGAAGTTTCATTTGTGTTCTTTAATGGGTTTGGCACAATATACGAAATTTTCTTATAAACCGGTAGCATGTTGGAGATTTATTGAACAGCATAAAAGCAAAACATAGATGTGCTACAACTGTAACGCCTTCTGTTTTTAACCAGGTTAACAGTTGCAGCTGCTCTTCAAGAAAGTTTATTTGTGGGTCAGTTACTTCTTCAGCTGTCCTATTAGAAGTCCATTGTTGCTCTACAACACTTTTTAAAATACTTCCTGCTTCTCCCATTAAATCTGTAAAGCTATTTGAGCATAGAATTTTACTATAATCCCAGGCATTGTTATGAATTACAAGTTTTGCAAGTTGTGACCATCTGACAAGTTTATTGTTGTCTACAACCCAATTAAGGTCTCTGTCTGTAACCTTTTTATTTCGAACAAAGACCTGTATAGTCATATCAAGTAATACCTTTATATTGACACCTATGGATGGTGCAGAGTCTGACTGTATGGTAATGACATTTAAAACAATTCATGCTAAAGCTCCATCTACAGAAGTGTCCTTCCAATTTTTTGTTTAAACTGTCTTTTCAGTTTGTTTCCTATCTGTGACTCCAGATGTTGGAAATCTGTAATGATATCTGAGGACTGCCAGTCATTTACTTTTTGCTCATAATTACGATTAATATGTGATACACGTTTCTTTGGAGTTTTGCGAGAGGCTGGTACTTTCACCAATAAATAGGATGGAAGATCTGGAAAAATAGTTTGGATAAGCATTTTTTTTTAACAGCGTGATTCTTTCTTGGGAGTATATGCTCGATTCCATATTTCTCTGTGTTTTTGTCAGACATAAGAATATCTGACGTACAAATATGTTTCACAAATGCTACACTGGTTTTTCCAGGAGTCCAATTTCTCCGTGGAATTTTGTTCAGCCATTTGTTTCTTAAAAGAGAATCCAAAGGAAATCTAAACACACTCATATATCCATTAGAAAGGTCATAATTCGAGCCACACTCAGGTACAGAACATTTGGTTGGCATAGTTTCACGAAAACCAACACACAGAGAATAAATCTAAAGCGAATCATACAAATATCTTACTAAATCTACTCCCTGAAACACCACTTATAAGTGAATCAGAAGTGAAGATGAAACACTTATTAAAAACGGATAAATATTACTTTGTGACAAGAAAAAAAAACCCGAACATACACTGAAACACATGTGTTATCCATTTTGCGTTCGACAGAGCAAGTAATGTCACCAAATTAGCATCGAATCCTATACTGCCGAAAGCCACGGTTGCTCCTTGTAGCTCGGGCAGATGCAATCCGCCTTTGAAGCAAGCTCCAATTAGTCGACTCTTACGACATGCTTGTTGGGGAGGCAGTGGGCCTATTCTTGTTTTTCACACAGTAAGACCCCGGAACCCACACATGGAGTAATGAAATAGGTGTGTTCTATGTTCTCTCCTGTCCCCGTGTGGATTCCGGACCCCTAATATGGGGTTGGGTGGGGGGGGGGTGGACCTACTGCCTACTAACAAAATGTAAAATACGACTAACTAGGAGCTTGCTGAAATCGGATGTGCTCGGCCTAAAGATCTAAAGACACCATACCATACAAAGCATACATGGAAAGAGAAGAAGGACGTAGAGCACGGGGTAGACCAAGAACAAGATGGAAGGATAACATCAGAGAAACTCTACAACAGCACGATGTGCCTATGGTCGAGGCAGCCAGAAGATCTAGAAACAGAACCTTATATCTCCCTCGACACCCACAGCGGTAAAAGAGGAAGTGAAGAAGAAGACCAGGAAGGCCAGCTGATTATTTAGAAAAACAAAATATCTCGATGCCAATAGGAACCGATGATCACTAGACCGTCAATAAGCGTGCTAACTACTGAACCAAGGCTGCTTCTCATGTGGTGATAAAGATATGTCAATGCAGGACATGAATGATACAGGTAATGAGGTAGATTCTGAGAATAGGATGCCTTGGACCGTGTTATCCACAGAGAAGAATCAAGAATTTATTGTTGTGGTGTGAGGACATTACACAAAAGACCTACTAGAGCAGTGGGTTTCGAGCTGTGGAGAAAATAAGGGGGGGGGGGGGTTGACTAGAAGATACAAGGGTTGGGGTGGGGCCTTGAAAAAGTAAAAAGTTAAGTAAAGATTCCTTTTCACGCATTTAGGCGCATCGGGCATATGGAAAAAGCACCCACATTTTTACAGACCAATCGGCAGTAGGGGAAACCTTGAAGCGATTTAGAAATTGGCTACATTTACCTTATAATATTTTATTTCATTGAGACTGTTTTTCGGTTTCGTTATAAACATTTTATAAACTATTTGAAAAACATAAAGCCAATAAGATATGTTTTTTGACACTTTGATTTATGTTGATGCTTTTTTTTTTTTTTTCTGCGAGTCCTCCTGTTTGCAATCACATTTCTTAAGTTGAAAAAAAAAAAAAAAGGGGTGGGGGGAGGGGGTGCGTGGGCGTCATGCCATATATTGTGGGCAGGGGACACCAGAAGACAATTTGAAAACCGCTGTAGTAAAGTAGTAGATAAAGACTCATACCTGAATCTGTATTATTTGTTGTTATTTATTTAGTGTATAAATATCACCCCTCCCCCCACCACCCTAAATTAAACAAAAATATGTTCAATTAACATTAATATTCTTCTTCGCGTTCACCAGCTGTAAACTCTGGCGGAAGGTTCTGGTTGCTCGGCCACTACTGAACTGCAGTCCTGCTCCAGAACCTAAGTGTTGCGTGTGCATCAGTTTTACAGATCTCATTCTCTTGAATACAGACTGTCGGTTCCTTGCCTCTCCGGCAGATGCACTACGACTTCAAGGGAAGCTCCCCATTAGTCGACTCTTACGACATGCTTTTGGGGAGGCAGTGGGTCTATTCTTGTTTTCCCCACAATGGGGCCCCGGAACCCACACGGGGGTGGTTGGTCTTTAAACATATAAGGTTTGCAAGTCGTATAAAAAGGATCCGTGTTTTCACTTTTACTTACCAGTGCTTAGTTATTATAGTTACTCGACTATTGTATACTTAATTATTATATATTTAGAACTATTACATAATCAGCTATTATAACGATTATATATTTCAAATATATAACAACAACACATCTTTCTGCACAGGTATGGGCATTGTTCCGAGAACCAAAATCGCCTGCATCCAGGAAACTAAAGATGGGGAGACGGAACTCTGCTTTGGGCTGCCAGCAGAAAGAAGCAGCAACCATCGCTTCAAGTACATGGTGTACCGGTCTCGCAGCGCTGCCACCCAGACTAAAATTGACATGTTCTTTGACAGATTCGTTCTGTACGAGAAGCAGAAAGATTTTCTCAGGTTCTCTCTGAGGTTTCCGGTGAAAGGAAGCTTCAAAATAGATATATATGGATTGGATGTCAAAGATGGAGATGTATTTGATCTGTGTTGCACCTATATTATCGAATGCCCACAAGCCAAACATAATTGCCTGCCTTACCCCGATTGTCCTCCGATAGGTTGGGGTCCTGTGTCAGAGACCGAAGAAGCTGGATTGAAACCTCTGTCCCATAAACAAGCTGAAATTATAACAAAAGATGGCATCGTCGAGATCAAACTTGCCAAAGATCGGAATCTTGCTTTTTACCAGTTACTGAAGCATTCGCTTCTGGAAGACACCACACTAATAAAGTACTCGGCTGCTGAGTTGACATCCAGTGAAGCTCTTGTGCATCTAAGATTACCTCAAAAAGGTGAATATGCTTTAAAACTGTATGCCCAAGATTTAAAGAAGCAAGGACCTGCACAAAATATTCTCAACTACTTAATTAACTGCAGTAACGTCAACCCCCAAACGACACCATTTCCTAACTTATCAACCGGACTTATAGGCAGAAATCCTTTAACAGACAAGAGCTTTGGGGTGCAAGCAATATCACATCCAGAAGCTCATATCAACGCCAAGAAAGGGACAGTTAAAATTGAGTTCAGAGCAGATCTGGATGTGGAGCTTCTCTGTGAGATGCACACAATTGACAGTGAAGCTTCAAGAACAATGACACACAACGTGTATAACAGTGGAGAGAATTGGACGTTTGATCTGGATATGCCTATACCTGGGGAGTACGCGCTGAATGTGTTTGCTCGAAGCAAAGAAGATTCTAGTCAGATTTACAGTGTTCACTCTTATTTAATTAATTCTGACGGGAAGAAGGGAAGTGTAACCATTGAAGGCGACGATGACGTGGATACATCAATACCAACGGAAACACTTGAAACAAGTGAAGCAGAGGTAAGAACACTTCCCACCCCCCCCCCCCCTCCCCCTTTTTTTTCTCTTTGCGTTTACTGTCTGAAAACTCCGGCGGAAAGTTCTAGTTGTTCGTCCACTTCTGGTCTTTAGTCTCGTTCCAGAACTTCAGTGTTGTGTGCACATCTGTTTTACACCTCTTGTCTATTCGTGAGCAGATTTGGTTCCTCGCCTCTCAGGTAAAACTCCGACTTCAAAGAAAAAAATCACTATTAAGTCGATTTGTACTACATGTTTGTTACGGGAACATTGGTTCTATTCTTCTTTTTCCCATACTGGATTTCCAGAACCCTCGCGGGGCATATTTTCTTATTATCATCGACCGTGTTGGTAATTTCCTTGTCATTTGTTAAATGTTATCCATTGTGTAACATGTTACATCTACCTTCCTTTTTTTTTTAATTCTTCCTGAGACTATGAGATACGTTTTGACTGTGTTGACTCTGTGTGTGGTGTGTGTATGTGTGTGTGGTGTGTGTGTGCGTGCGTGTGTGTGTGCGTGTGTGTGCGTGCGTGTGTGTGTGTGTGTGTGTGAGTGTGAGTGTGTGTGTGTGTGTGTTTAACTATGCAATATTTCCTTGTACTCCACTGTTACAAATTTAATATTCTACCCACCCCACCCCCACCCCCCTCCCTTTTTTTTTTCTTCTTAATTATACCGCAACTGTATGCTGATGTTATCCGAAGAAGCTGGTGGATGTGGTAATCGATCTTTGATATGGTAATCGATCTGTCTCAATTATACTGATACCGTTTTTTAAAAAAAAAATAGCTTGCTGTAGGATTGGACGATCTGACAGTGAGTACGGAAATCTACCCAACATTCACATTGAAGCAAGAAAAGATTCATACATACACCACCACACATAGACAAGCTAAAACAGAGAGATCTGGTCGAGTGTATGAAAACGCATCAATTCGTGAAAACTATGGACTATTTCATTAAATATATAATGTAGCTGCGTGAAAAAATGCTTTCTGTATGTGATATATATTATATATATATATAAGATCTACGAATAATAAAGAATATGTATTGGCAGCAAACAGCAGCTATGTGAATTAACAACTGTTTAGGTGCATTTCAAAGCATAAAGAGGGGCGTACGACAAGGATGTGTACTATCACCTGATTTGTTTTCAATATACAGTGAAAATATAATGAGATCTTCAATTGATATGCCCGGAATTGTGGTTGGTGGGCACAATATAAACAATTTACGTTTTGCTGATGACACAGTCTTTATAGCAACAAGACAGAAAAAGCTTACAGGAAATGATAGACATTGTCGTGTTAGAAAGTGGAAGAATGGGCCTAAGTTTGAATAATGGAAAGACAGAAGTAATGGTGGTATCAAAGAAACGAATAATTTCTAAATGTGTAATAAAAGTCGATGGTGTTATTTTAGGACAAGTACAGAAATTTAGGTATCTGGGCACATGGATAACATCGGATGGAAGATGCATAACTGAGATAAGAAACAGAATAGGAGAGGCAAAAACTGCATTTTATAAAATGAAGAATATTTAGTGCAATATATCCTTGTCAATGAAGTTACAAAAAGAATTCTTGCTTGCTAAATACATCCAGTTTTAACATATGGCTGTGAATCCTGGACAATCGATAGGCAGGCCAAACAATTTTTTGAGGCCTCAGAGATGTGGTTTTACAGAAGAATGCTTAGAATACCTTGGACAGCCAAAAAGAGCAACCAAGAGGTTTTTAAAGAGGCGGGAGCACGAAGACAACTTATCACAGACATCAGAAGGAGACAGATCATTTTTCAGCCAAGTTATTAGAAAAGGGAAAATAGAACATGTTGTGACCACTGGAAAGATCTGTTGGAGGAGGGATAGAGGAAGACAACGAGAGAAGATTCTTGACAGTCTTGTTGCATGGCATGGAGGTGAGTCGGCAAACAAAATGATACTTGCTGTAGGAGATCGTGGATTATGGAGAGGCACGATCGCCCACGCCAGTCGACAAGGCACCTGATGATGATGATTCACTATTTCGTATTCCTATTCGTATTCGGCCGAATAGTTGGTCCCACTATTCGTATTCGGAGGTATAGTGAAAATCACTATTTCGGTACAGCCCTACAGTTTTCAACTACCTACAGTACTCCACTGTCTACAGTTCTCCACTATCTTCAGTACTCTGCTGTCTACAGTTCTCCACTGTCTACAGTTCTCCACTATCTACAGTTATCCACTGTCTACAGTTCTTCACTGTCTACAGTTCTACACTGTCTACAGTTCTCCACTATCTACAGTTTTCCACTATCTACAGTTCTCAGCCATCTACAGTTCTCCACCATTTACAGTTCTCCGCTATCTACAGTTCTCCACCTTCTACAGTTCTTCAGTGTCTACAGTTCTCCACTATTTACAGTACTTCACTGTCTACAGTTATCCACTATCTACAGTTGTCCACTGTCTACAGTTCTTCACAATCTACAGTTCTCCACTGTCTACAGTACTCCACTATCTACAGTTCTCTACTATCTACAGTTGTCCACTATCTACAGTTCTCCACTATCTACAGTTCTCCACTGTCTACAGTTCTCCACTATCTACAGTTCTCCACTATCTACAGTTCTCCACTATCTACAGTTTTAAACACTCTACAGTTCTCAACTGTCTACAGATCTCCACTGTCTACAGTTCTCCACTGTCTACAGTTCTCCACTACTGTCTACAGTTCTCCACTGTCTACAGTTTCTCAACTGTCTACAGTTCTCCACTATCTACAGTTCTCCACTATTCTGCAGTTCTCCACTGTCTACAGTTCTCCACTGTCTTCAAAACCCAGCCAACAAACCACAACAACACACAGCTTTCTTTACTGTCTCTCACTGTTACAGATCTCCACTGTCTACAGTTCTCCACTGTCTACAGTTCTCCACTGTCTACAGTTCTCCACTGTCTACAGTTCTCCACTATCTACAGTTCTCCACTGTCTACAGTTCTCCACTGTCTACAGTTCTCCACTATCTACAGTTCTCCACTATCTACAGTTCTCCACTGTCTACATTTCTCCACCCTCTACAATTCTCCACTATCTACAGTTCTCCACTATCTACAGTTCTACACATTCTCTACTGTCTACAGTTCTCCACTACAGTTCTCCACTGTCTACAGTTCTCCACTATCCACAGTTTCCACTGTCTACAGTTCTCCACTCTAACTAAACACTTACTCTCACTGTCTACAGATCTCCACTGTCTACAGTTCTCCACTGTCTACAGTTCTTCACTGTCTACAGTTCTCCACTATCTACAGTTCTCCACTATCTACATTTCTCCACCCTCTACAATTCTCTACTATCTACAGTTCTCCACTGTCTACAGTTCTCCACTGTCTACAGTTCTCCACTGTCTACAGTTCTCTACTGTCTACAGTTCTCCACTGTCTACAGTTCTCCACTATCCACAGTTTTAAACACTCTACAGTTCTCCACTATCTACAGTTCTCCAATGTCTACAGTTCTCCGCTGTCTACAGTTCTCCACTCTCTACAGTTCTCCACTATCTACAGTTCTCCACTGTCTACAGTTACCTCCTGTCTACAGTTCTCCACTATCTACAGTTCTCCACTATCTACAGTTCTCCGCTGACTACAGTTATCCACTGTCTACAGTTGTCCACTGTCTACAGTTCTTCACTAAATACAGTTCTCCACTATTTACATTCTCCTCTATCTACACTTCTCTACTGTCTACTGTTCTCCACTGTCTACAGTTCTCTACTATCTTTAGTTCTTTACTGTCTACAGTTCTCCACTGTCTACAGTTTTCCACTGTCTACAGTTCTTCACTATCTACAGTTCTCCACTATCTGCAGTTCTCCACTGTCTACAGTTCTCTACTATCTGCAGTTCTCCACTATCTAAATTTCTCCACTATTTACAGTTCTCCGCTGTCAATAGTTCTCCACTATCTACAGTTCTCCGCTGTCTATAGTTCTCCACTGTCTACTGTTCTCCGTTATCTACAGTTCTCCGCTGTCTACAGTTATCCACTGTCTACAGTTCATTGTCTACAGTTCTCCACTATCTGCAGTTCTCCACTATCTACAGTTCTCCGCTGTCTACAGTTATCCACCGTCTACAGTTCATTGTCTACAGTTCTCCACTCTCTACAGTTCTCCACTATCTACAGTTCTCCACTGTCTACATTTCTCCACTATCTACAGTTCTCCCCTATCTACAGTTCTCCGCTGTTTACAGTTCTCCACTATCTACAGTTCTCCACTATCTACAGTTCTCCACTATCTACAGTTCTCCACTATCTACAGGTCTCCGCTATCTGCAGTTCTCCACTATCTACAGTTCTCCACTGTCTACAGTTCATTATCTACAGTTCTCCACTATCTACAGTTCTCCCCTATCTGCAGTTCTCCACTATCTACAGTTCTCCACTATCTACAGTTCTCCACTATTTACAGTTCTCCACTATCTACACTTCTCCACTGTTTACAGTTCTCCACTATCTACAGTTCTCCGCTGTCTACAGTTCTCAGCTGTCTACAGTTCATTGTCTACAGTTCTCCACTGTCTACAGTTCTCCACTATCTACAATTCACCACTTCTAACCTCAGTGTAACAGATGGTAATTGTTGAGTACTCGTTTAGTGTAGATTTACTTAATAAACGCAAAGGATCATTTCCCACGCCTTTATGTGTATTGGGCATATAGGGCTAGATATATACTTTTAGAACACTTGCTATTATGTGGGTGGTTTGGGGAACATCACTTCGGCCGTAGCAAGCAAGCAAGAAGTCTTTTTCTAACTCTCAATGACAAGGATATATTGCACAAGATATTCTTCATTTTATAAAATGCAGTTTTTGCCTCCCCTATTCTGTTTCTTATCTCAGTTATCCATGTGCCCAGATACTTAAATTTCTGTACTTGTCCTAAAATAACACCATCGACTTTTATTACACATTTAGAAATCATTCGTTTCTTTGATACCACCATTACTTCTGTCTTCCCATTATTCAAACTGAGGCCCATTCTTCCACTTTCTAACACGACAATGTCTATCATTTCCTGTAGCTCTTTCTGTTTTGTTGCTATCAAGACTGTGTCATCAGCATAACGTAAATTGGGCATATAGGGCTAGATATATATTTTTAGACCACTTGCTATTCTGTGGGTAGTTTGGCCGGCTTCACTTCTTGGGATACTATCTGGTACCCTTTTTAGGATCGGACGACCTGGGAGGCAAGGTTGTTTTTGAAAATAGGTCTGTTTCCGTCATTACCTGAACCCACGACCTTAGAATTCGCAGGCGAGTGTCTAGCCGCTACTCCACGGTGGCTCTCGCTTTACTTAGACAAGTCAATTATACAAGAGGGGCTGGTCTGATAGTAAAGCTGGGCTCTGGAGACCAAGATTAGAATTCATGGTAATGTCATGAATTTGTTTCTGTAGGGCGCGCGCGCGCGCACACACACACATACACACGCACTCACACACTCACACACACAACACAAAGCTAATAGGCGACCCGGTAGTGGATGATCAGGCATAGGGTTGGACACTAAATATTTATGTAGGCAATGGTCCTCATTGAGTCATGTCGTCAACACCGCCCTGGTTGTGTTCACTACTAAGTAAGTACCTTTCCGCCTTTCATTTTAGGCTGCATCAAGCTGGGAGCCCTAAGTCAATTCTAAAAGTCTGCCAGGTGTGTGGGAACTTGGGAGCTCTGACGCCCCTAGAAAATTATGAGGCCGGCTGAGCTAAATGTTTTATAAATCATTTTATTTCCCCTAGGGCAGCGGTTCTCAGCCTGTGGGTCACGATCCTTTTGTGGGTCGAACGGTCTTTTCAATTGGGTGGCCTGAGACCATCGGAAAACACATATTCACTAAAGTTATGAAGTAGCGCTCTGTGGCTAAGTCGATGCGAACGCTTCGCTTCGTAATGCCGGGATGCCAGGTTGATCCCAGCTGCGGGCAATGCGCCTTGCGTTGGTTTCGACAGTGGTATCAAGAAAGCCGCACGTCCAGAAAGCAATGGCAAACTACTGGATGTAAATTGCCTAGAGAAACCACACAACAGACAGGGGCTGTTGGGGTTGGTTCTACAACGTCCTGTAAAGGATATGCAACTAACTTATGAAGTAGCAACGGAAATAATTGTATGGTTGGGGGGTCGCCACAGCATGAGGAACTGTATTAAAGGGTCGCCGCATTAGGAAGGTTGACAACCTCTGCCCTGGAGCATTTTGTTGACTCTTTGTTTACCCTGCAACGGGGGGATTTTGCCATATATTCAAGAGGGGAAAGTGGGGGGGGGGGGGGGAGGGGGGGGAGGGGTAGGGGGTTGTGAAGCGACACTGAAAAGTGTTGAAAACCAATGTTGTGGAAAATATACGCTTACAGAACAATATACATGAATAAATAGTGGTTGTAAATCACTATCTGTAAATTTGTTTATAGTTCCGTGTATCTGTTCATTCTGCTTTTTAGCATCCACGTCTTTAAGGAGCATAGGTCCTGAGCCAACAAGCGTCATATGACCCTATCCTTTGACATCTCATGTTGCCGATAATACCCCCCCCCCCCCCCCCCCCCCCCCCCTGCCTCCGCCGCCTACACCCCTTTATTTCCAAACACCAATCTTATTCAGCTTAGTCTCTTTTTTTGTTCTCTCATTGTATTTGAGTTATTTCACCTTACTTACAGGTTCCAGCTGACAGATATTCTTATACTATATATATGTGAGATGCAATCTTCATGACGAGACATTGATATGTGTCGTTTCTATGCCTTCATCAGGTGACCATCCCAATGCCACAACACTGCAAGCGACCGGTTGCCTTGTTTTACAGACGAAACGGATATGACCCGCCTGACCCCAGTCAGGTCAACTTCTTCTCCACTGACGACGTGAACATGGTCAAGGTCAAATTAAAGAACTATGGGGAATACATGCTGAATCTTTACGATTCCGAAGAGAATGGAAAGAAGGTAATCAGAGAACCTTTCGTCTTTTTTCTTCCCCTTTTCTTAATGTGGTTTGAGGAAGGTCGTGGAAAATTGAATAAAGAATCGACATCATAGTTTTCAGGAAACCACCATAAGCGCTACGTCCCAATCTTCAGCAGCAAACGAAGAGTTCCAATTCCGACGGCACTAGTAACTGTCTGATTGTATATCCGCCTCGCCCTTCCCTAAGTCGTGGATTGAGGTCCTGGCGGAACCGGGAGTTTTTTTTTTTTATTACCTCAGCTTTCAGGTCGACCTAGCCTTACATTGGTACTAAATGAAGTCACAGGAAGTAAACGCGGCCGGCATGGTGTTGGCCTAATTACCCACCGAGTACCGACTGATCTATACAATACAGATCTAGACGGATATGCCCAATACGCCTAAAGTCGTGGAAGAGGCCTTTTCCATTTTATTCTATATGTAGTTGAGCCGTATCAGCGTTAGTCTGTAAGTTACTAGATTGCTTCTAGTATAGTTCTGCGAATTGTTTCTTTAAAATCATAGCAATAAAAATTTGTTTCACAACTCTACGGCACGGCGTCAACGTCACTAAATCATTGTTTCGAGAAAATCGCATTTTAATATTGAACAAATGATGGCTGTGTAATCATCATCATCATCATCATCATCAGGAGCCTTGCTGACTGGTGTGGGCGATCATGCCTCTCCATAATCGACGATCTCCTGCAGCATATATCTGAGGCGTGATTGACTAGGGATAAAACAGCAGTGGTTTCTTCTTGACTTCCGCCGGTTTGTATATAGTTTAACTTCAATAGCCTTTGTTTAAAGAGACTTACGCTGCAAGGCAGCAGGGGGGCGAGGGAAGATGTTATGGCGCCTCTTACCGGCTGATGGCCATGTCGTAGAGTTTTGAGGTATTTTATAGAGTTAGCTGTCCCACCAACTAACTCGCCTCCCCTCAATGAACATCACCTGTTTTGGTCCGCGGCCACTTATTCAATATATTCATGGCTAACCTCTATATCTAGAGGCCTTTCCACCAACCTGTATAGTTACGTGAATGGTATTCATTTGTTTTGACATGTCTGAAGTAGAAAGGCAGTTGTGTGCCTTAGGTCTATTGTAAATTGACAAACAACAGCCTTGAAAAATGCACCAGGGAGGAAGTCGCCAAAACTGCACTTGCATGACGCGTAGAAAAATTCCTATCCTGATATTAGTGATTAATGATTAGAAAGGATTATCATCACAGCACTTCGGTCAGATCCATAGGTGCTACGATCTCCTCCTCAAAAGCTCCACAAGTGTAAAACAACCGATGACGCCTGTTCTGTGTTGGTTAATGAAATGTTTTGTCCTCTTAGTTAAATGTTTATTTCTTGCAGCTCCAGGCTGCACCCCCATGTCCTTCAGTCTAGACAGGGATATGGAGTCATGTCCTTTGGCGTGCTCCTCAGTACGGTAAGTGCAGCGCATGGCATTGATAACATCACTTCTGTCAAGTAACTGGACAGCCATAGCAACTGCAGTGTCAGCAAGATAGTCTGCACGCTCGTTTCCTTGAAAACGCGCATCACCTGGCACAAAGATTAATTTTAGGGCAGATATTCCTGAAGTGCTTAGTATTTCAATCCGTTCTTGTCTGATAAATCCAGCTTGGATTTTTTTTAAGCATACTCATCGAGTCACTAAGAATGCATATCCTGATATACGCAAGTGAATCAGGAACAGTTGGTAGCTTACTGAAAATTATTTGGAAGCTGTGAAAATATGGTTTTATAGACGAATAAGAAGAATACCATAGACAGATAAAAAGAGTAATGAAGAAGTCTTGAAAGACGGTAACTCACAATGAGAACAGACTGCCCACATCAGAAAGAGACAATCTGCATTATTTGGTCATGTGATGAGAAGGAGAAAGCTGTAGTAGATCGTCCCAGTAGGAAAGTTGGAGAGGAACTGAGACAGATGGAGACTGAGAGAGGAGATACTGGATCGTTTGACGTCATGTCATGAAGGATCATCTTTGTCGCGGGTGACTGATAATAGCACAGGAGATAGAAGGTTGTGGATAGACATAACTACCAACGCCACACGGCACTGACTTTAAGAAGAAGACGTCCCAACGGTTCTATATGTGTCTTTGGGTAGCAACCGCTGAAGTGATATATAATTATTCTCATAATACTTTGGACAAAGAAGAAAAGAAATACGGACATTTTAAAGATCTGAAAATCAAGGAAGACTGCCTAATAAACAACTGCTTCTCTTGTCTCTGAAGCTGAAATATGTTGGCCATATCCAGCCCCACTGTGGATATAAAAATATTATAGCAGAAGTCATGGTACCAGGCAGGAAAGACAGGGGCCGACCAGTACGAAGATGGACACAGGATATAGGTCACTCCTTGGATTATGAAAATGCACAAGGCGGGAGAGCTGGTGAGATACAGAGTTTCTTACAGGCAGACCGTGATGAGAGTCGTGTTCTGCAAAGGACCAGCTACATGATGATGATGATACTGGTGAAGGGTAGCCATAACAACAAACAGACTGCATCCGTTTCCACTCTTTTAAGCGCATTGCTCATTTAGTGATAGACCTATAATTTATAGACCAATCGGCACTGGTTGGGTGACGTCAACTGTCTGGCACCCATTTGAGGATGGATCAAGACCGGTTTCAGCTGACGAGCCATGCTGCTGATGTCACCTAACCGGGCTATGATACGTTTAACCGGTTAGGTGACGTCAGCTGGAGCCGGTCTTGGATGGACCGACGTGGAGCCAAGGTCATTACAAATGATTCCCGTGTGGGCTCTGGGGCCCGATTGTGGGAAAACAATAGACCCAATGTTTCCCCTAACAAGTATGTCGTAGGAGTCGACTAACTAGGGGTTTCCTTCGAAGTCGGAGTGCATCTGCCTGAGAGGCAAGGAACCAACGTCTGCATACAAATAAGGCAGATTTGTTAAACGGGTGTGCATGCAACACCCATGTTCTGGAGCAAGTCTAAGTCCAGAGATTGATGAACAACCTTTTTCTAAAGTTCACAGCCAGTGAACGCAAAGAAGAAGATTAGAGATGAAATCAACTTTATAAAATGTATGCCTCTCCAGTATTCTCAACAGTGGCGTATTTCTTCTTCAGGTCAAGAATATTGCCAAGTATCAGATCAACAGAAAGCGACCAGGAGATATTTACACAAACATCAACACAGCCATGGATGCCATCAAAACTAGCACTCAGTCGGTCAAATCAAGCAAGGAAGTCAGCTCTCTCACTTCTGAAGGTATGTAATTTGCTTATTATCATAGACATTCCTCGTGAATTTTCTGTTTTTCTTCTTCTTCTTCTTCTTCTTCTTCTTCTTCTTCTTCTTCTTCTTCTTCTTCTTCTTCTTCTTCTTCTTCTTCTTCTTCTTCTTCTTCTTCTTCTTCTTCTTCCTCCTCCTCCTTCTCCTCCTCATCCGCATCTTCTCGCGTTCACCGGCTAAAAACTCCGAGGGAATCTGATTTTTGTTCGTCGCTTCTGAACTCTAGTCTTTTTTCAAGACTTGTGTGTTACGTGCACATACATTTTGCAGAGCTGGCTTCTGTGTGTGCATACTTTTGGTTCCTTGAATCTCAAGCTGATACAGTCCGTCTTCGAAGGAAACGAAGTGATATACTATCTACGTTGGTCAGACTCCAGTTTGGGAACCAGTTCCTAGTACGACCACGGAGACGTGTGATCCTCTCCAGTATGAGCACTGGGGCTCTACCACGTGTGGTTCAACGTCATCTTATACCACATGAATTTCTGTTCTTCTTCTGCTTCTGCATTCTAGCCACCAATGGAGCATAGTCCCTCAGCCAACTCACGCCAAGTTCCTCTATCATTCGCTATGTGTGCAGCTCTCCCCATATTCTACTTATCTAATTCCACTCTCTACCTCCCTTTTACATGTTTTTTTCCCTTCCATGTTGTCTTCCTTTATTTGTATTTCCCTGTGAGTTCCAGTGCAAAGGCATTCTAGTTATATTGCTCTCAAGTTATATGTTACTCTAGCTTAAACAAGTGAACACTCCCTTTTGCGACTATGCAGCTTCTATCTAACAACATACAGGTTTGTGTGAGTTATTAGTTCTCCATCGGCCAGCAGCTATAACGTACTACTTGAGAACAGCAGGCTACAAGGGCAAAGGCCGACCAAGAAAGGCATGGGTGGGGGGAGTACAACTGACACTACAGAAGCGCAATATTACATTAACACAAGCTACACTACTGGCGTATGTGGCTTAGATGTTGCGAACTAGTTTCGTAATGCCGGGGTGCCGGGTTCGATCCTAGCTGCTTGCGATTTGGCAGCAGAACATCTTGCGTCGATTTCGACAGTGGTACTAACAACTGATCGTTCAGAGCAATAGCAAACTACTGAACGTAAAATTTGCCTAAAACAACCACAACAGCTCGCCCCCCCCCCCCCCCTCCCTTTCTCCCTTTTTTCTTTTACATTTAACTTGCACAGGCCTTAGGTCCCTTGAGTCCCACCCACTCTAGAACAATTGCAATGTTGTCTTTATATGAGCGGCCCTTTGTTTACTCTTCTAATCTCATCCCATTTCAGGCCTGCCCTCTTACCCGAACATTGTTTTCATAGATCAGAACAATGTTTTTATAGATCAGAACAATGTTTTCATAGATCAGAACAATGTTTTTATAGATCAGAACAATGTTTTTATAGATCAGAACAATGTTTTAATAGATCAGAACATTGTTTTCATAGATCAGAACAATGTTTTTATAGATCAGAACAATATTTTTATAGATCAGAACAATGTTTTTATAGATCAGAACAATATTTTTATAGATCAGAACAATATTTTTATAGATCAGAACAATATTTTTATAGATCAGAACAATGTTTTTATAGATCAGAACAATGTTTTTATAGATCAGAACAATGTTTTTATAGATCAGAACAATGTTTTTATAGATCAGAACAATGTTTTCATAGATTGTTTTCATAGATTTATAACTGACAGTTTCTCCAGATACACCAGTAGACACATCAACAGACGAAGCGCAAATGAATGCCCGGAGAAACATACAAAACGCAATGGATTTGAAGGACATTCGCCATCTGGAAGAAGCGATTAAATCTTTTCTGGCTGTGGGGGGAAGCGACAATGACCCACTGGTGAAGAAACCCCGAAGTCTGTTGGAAGTTCTCAAGGCCAAACAAGGTACGTGATTTCATGATTGCTACGTTCAGAAAGAAAATATTACATTTTACAGTCATCGTGTCTATAAACGTGTGCTTGTGTGGTTTGTTAACACACACGATTACCAATCTCGACTAAAGTGTGAGTGTGTATGTGTGTGTCTGTGTGTGTCTGTGTGGGTGTGTGTGTGTTAGTTTCCCACTTCAGAATTGCAGTCTGTGGGATTAACATCTGAAGGATGAAAATCAAACAGCTACAAGTCATGGAAACCCCGTTCACCTGTCATCATCATCATCAATTCTCTTTATTCCCAGTGGCACATGAGGCTTCAGAAAGGGCTTTCCATGCTTTCCTGTCCTGGGCAATCTCCAGTACAGTTCTCCATGTCGGAGATGCCGCACTCAGGTCACTTTTCATCGTTCGTCTCCATGTTGTTTTTTGGCGCCCTTCTTTTGTCTCTTTCCCTCTGGTATCCATGTGAGAGCTGTTTTTGGCAGGTATATCAGGATTTATTCTCATAACGTAAAAAAGGAAAAAGCTGCATTGATGCAATATTTACTCCTCGGCAAATTTGTGAACAGACAATCGAATATAATAAACACCAGAATCTTATATTCATTGATCAAAAGAAGGCTTTTGACAGGGTTAACAGAAATAAACTATGGAACATTCTTGAAGAATATGGTGTATCGGGTCAATTATTGGGAAACAATGGCTCTCTATCAAAATAGCCAGAGCGCTGTAAGAACAACGGAAGGTATGACAGACTAGTTCCCCATTACACCAGGAGTACGACAAGGATGTGTCCCATCACCCCTACTCTTCATCACATATATGGATAAAATTGCACACGAGTCAAACCAAAACACAGATATTATAAATGAACTACTCTTTGCAGATGACCAATGTTTGTTACAAGAAGAAGAACAAAAACTACAACAACATGTTGATTCATTGCTCACTAACTGTACAAAATTTGACATGAAAATAAACACTTCAAAAACTGAAGTAATGACCATAGGAGAGAAACACAGCAATGTAAACATAAAGATCAATGACATACAATTAGAACAAGTTCAAGAATTCAAGTACTTAGGATGCATATTTATAGAAGATGGAAGACTCGATAAAGAGATACAGGCTAGAGTTCAAAAAGCCAATGCAGTCAACTACCAACTGGCCCCACTTCTTCGTCATCCAAAGATCTCGTTACCAGCCAAACAACGGATGATCAACAGCATTTTCATCCCTACGTTATGTTATCAGTGCCAAACGTGAACAATGAACAAATCACATATGCAAAAAATAACTACGTGTGAAATGCGATGTCTCCGAAGAGTCACAAACAATACACGAAGAGACAGAGTCACAAACGTCAGCATTAGAGACAAAGTTGGAACAAGAGCATGCATGGAACATATTGAAAGACAGAGAATGAAGTGGTTTGGCCATTTAATAAGAATGCAACCAGATCAGATTGCCTATAAGGCCTTTTACAGTAGAACATCGGGAAGAAAGGCCAGAGGAAGATCCAGGAAAAAATGGATAGATGGAGTAGCTGAATACGGCCAGAAGATCCAGAAAACTGTCACTCAAATCACGCGAGAGGCACAAAACAAATATTTTAAACCCTGACACTGGGCTGCAACCCTGTAAAAGTGAAGTAGACAATAGATAGAACGTGGCCAAGCCATTTCCACATTTTCTTGGTTAACATACTGTCTAGAGTTTCTTGGTTTGTGACTTAAATTAGTTTAGTGTATGACCATTCAACTGTACGGCGCAGCAAATATTGGTGCATCACAAAACGGTAGTGAGATGAGATCCGACGCTCATGTGCATTGTTGCGCACGTTAAAAATCTCTTGGCAGTTGGAAATCGAAAAGAGTAGCTAACGGCGCTGTTCGGGCAAAATTTAGAGTTAAAATATACCAAAAGTATTTCAGGATCTTCGCCGGTGCTACCGAGCCTTGCACTTTGCTGAACTTCTTCTGACTCAGACTTGGGTTAGAAGAAGAGCGGAGCACTTATGGGTTACACCCGTGTGCCACGATGTTGATCCGTTGTTCAAAACCTCAAACTCACCATCGCAATGGGCGGTCTCATGCTTGTTCATAGCAAATATAACACTGTCGTCTGGAAAGACGGAAAGGTGCCAGCTATAACTATAAAAGACAGGCAGAAAAGCAGCAGGCCGGCATCTTCTTCTTCTTCGCGTTCACTGGCTGTGAACTCCTGTGGAAAGTTCTGGTTGTTCGTCCACTTCTGGACTGCAGTCCTGTTCCAGAGCCTTAGTGTTGCGTGCGCATCAGTTTGTTAGATCTGACTAATTTGTAAACAGACTGTTGGTTCCTTGCCTCTCAGGTAGATACATTCTGACTTCTAAGGAAGCTCCCAATTAGTCGACTCTTACGAAATGCTTTCGAGTAGGCAGTGGGTCTATTCTTGTTTTCCCTATAATAGGACCCAGGAACCCACACGGGCAGACGGGCATCTATAGAGATCACTTATAAATGCCCTATGTGTCAACAGTGGCCTTAAGTGGGAATCGAATATAGAGCGGATCCGAAATACAATTGCCGGGGAACCCATTAGGCCAATGAACTAGTATGATTAACTACTATAACTGGTTAGCAACAATGAACTAGTTTAATTAACTACTATAATTGGTTGTCACCAATGAACTAGTAAAATTAACTACTATAACAGGTTAGCAACAATGAACTAGTTTAATTAACTACTATAATTGGTTGTCACCAATGAACTAGTATAATTAACTACTATAATTGGTTAGCAACAATGAACTAGTTTAATTAACTACTATAATTGGTGCACCGATGAACTAGTATAATTAACTACTATAATTGGTTGGCACCGATGAACTAGTATAATTAACTACTATAATTGGTTGGCACCGATGAACTAGTATGATTAACTACTATAATTGGTTGGCACCGATGAACTAGTATGATTAACTACTATAATTGGTTGGCACCGATGAACTAGTATGATTAACTACTATAAGTGGTTGGCACCAATGAACTAGTATGATTAACTACTATAATTGGTTGGCACCAATGAACTAGTATGATTAACTACTATAATTGGTTGGCACCAATGAACTAGTATGATTAACTACTATAATTGGTTGGCACCGATGAACTAGTATGATTAACTACTATAATTGGTTGGCACCTATGAACTAGTATGATTAACTACTATAATTGGTTGGCACCAATGAACTAGTATGATTAACTACTATAATTGGTTGTCACCAATGAACTAGTATGATTAACTACTATAATTGGTTGGCACCAATGAACTAGTATGATTAACTACTATAATTGGTTGGCAACCTAGTATGAACTAGTAAATAGTAACTACTACTAATTGGTTGGCACCAATGAACTAGTATGATTAACTACTATAATTGGTTGGCACCAATGAACTAGTATGATTAACTACTATAATTGGTTGGCACCGATGAACTAGTATGATTAACTACTATAATTGGTTGGCACTGATGAACTAGTATGATTAACTACTATAATTGGTTGGCACCAATGAACTAGTATGATTAACTACTATAATTGGTTGGCACCAATGAACTAGTATGATTAACTACTATAATTGGTTGGCACTGATGAACTAGTATGATTAACTACTATAATTGGTTGGCACTGATGAACTAGTATGATTAACTACTATAATTGGTTGGCACCGATGAACTAGTATGATTAACTACTATAATTGGTTGGCACCGATGAACTAGTATGATTAACTACTATAATTGGTTGGCACCGATGAACTAGTATGATTAACTACTATAATTGGTTGGCACCGATGAACTAGTATGATTAACTACTATAATTGGTTGGCACCGATGAACTAGTATGATTAACTACTATAATTGGTTGGCACTGATGAACTAGTATGATTAACTACTATAAATGGTTGGCACCAATGAACTTGTATGATTAACTACTATAACTAGTTGGCAGTTGGAATGCAGAGGTGCCGAACAATGCGTGTGACCAGGACCAGACCTCACACTGGTAAAGACATATTGTCTGTCAGTTGAAAGTTGAATTGAGAATCGACATCATAGCACTCAGGGCAGTCCTATAAGCGCTCCGTCCCCAACTTCAGCAAAAAGCGAAGAGTTTCAGTTCCGATGGCACCAGTAACTGTCTCATTGTATATCCGTCTCGCCCTTTCCTTGAGTGTTGAGCGTCAACCAGATCCCCTGGTAACTCCTCGCAGCGCCATTCTCCTCAGACCGTAATGATCTATATGCGCCTCCGCACCGTTTGCTCGCTCCTAAAGGGTTCTAACAACATTTAGATTGCCATACATCATCTATTCACCACCAATTGGTGCATAACCTGCCAGTCTGTGTGCCTGCTCATTTCCCAACACACCGGCACAACCTGGAGAAAATATCCAAAGGATGCTAACTACCCGGGACCTCTGAAGTGATGCTAGCCCCTCTGCATGGGGCATGCCTGTCTCCGCCTGTCTCAATATGCTCTGTGAGTCATCTGTCAGTGTTCACCCTAGAAAAGGTTCCCGGCGACCTGACCAGTCGATGTTCCCTTTGAAGTTGGATCGCATTTGCCTATGAGGCGAGGAACCAGCAGTTTGCACACAAATAAGCTAGATCTGTTAAATGGATATGCATGCAACACTCAAATCCAGGAACAAGATCAAAGTCCAGTAGTGAACGAACAACCATGACTGTCTCCCGGAGTTTACAGCCGGTGGACGCAAAGAAAAAAACGACAATTGACAACTTTGTCCTCCTGTCTTTATTTCTTTCTTTCTTTCTTATGTATCTATTAGTGTCATATTTTAGTAAAAGCTAGAGGACAAGAGAGCAAGAGGTAGACAGCGTTACAAAAGGGGAGGACAACATCAAGAGACAGCAGACTGTGAGAGTGTACAGCCAAGACAAGAGATAAAGCGTGTTGGAGATCCATTGCAGCCACCAATTCATTGTGGAGATAGCATCTAATTGATTTATTAGTGTCAATCAATACACTTCTCTTTGTTTATTACTATTCATAAAGTCTATGCCATATGGCGTTGGTAGTTATTTCTAACCACAGCCTTCTGTCTCTTGTACTTTCGATCAACTCTGACACAGATGATCCTCCATGCCATGATTTCAAACTGTCCAGCATCTTTTCTCTCGGTCTCCCTCTGCCTCTTCTCCCCTCCAACTTTCCTACTGTCACGATGTACTCCAGTTTTCTGCTTCTCATCACATGACCGAAGAATGCAGACTATCTCTTTCTGATGCGGGCAATCAGTTCTCTTCGTGAGTCAGTTTCTTTCAAAACATCCTCATAAGGATGTCTTGTTTATTACACACCTGATATTTAAATCTGTGCTGTTTACAATTCCTCAGATTTGAATGAAGCCTCACAGCAGAGAAATCTGGCAAAGCTGGAGAAAGCCATTACACGAGCCAAGAGAGCAAACTCCAACCATGACCTGGATGCACAGATCGCCTTGGCTGTCAGACTTCGAGATCATTTAGCAAAGATCGATAGACTGAGACATGCTGTGTTGACCATGGAAGCCAAGACTATAGCAGAGATACGATCTTACTCGAATCCCCCAGACGGCGTCCACCAGTGCTTGATAGCTACATGTTTGCTACTTGGCTACCAGTACAAAGAAGTCAAGGTATAGCTTGTTCACGTCATAAGACGTTTCGATCTTGTAGATTGTAGGCGTGTACTTACTGTTTGAACCTGTAAACAATGTGTGTATGGTAACTGTTGTGTGGTGGGGGGGAAAGAATTTATTCTTATCTGTTTTTCAAAGTAGCCTCTAACCAGCCCCCTAACAACTAGGCCAGGAGTTCGTCTTTAGCGTCTTATTCTTCGCGTTAACCAGCTGTAAACTCGGCGGAAAGTTATGGTTGTTGGTCCATTTCTGGACTGTAGTCCTGTTCCATGGACCACGAGTGCCATCCGTTTTCAAAAATCTGACAATGTGACCCGAGTGTTGCGTTCCTTGCCTCTCAGGCATGCACTCCGAATTTTTACAAATCTAACATGTGTATGCAAACTGTTGGTTCCTTGCCTCTCAGGCAGATGCACTCCAATTTCGAAGGAAGCTCCCAATTAGTAGACTCTTACGACATGCTCTCGGGGAGTCAGTGGGTCTATTCTTGTTTTCTCTATAAAAGGGCCTCGGAACCCACACGTGGATTCGTCTTTAGCATCTTTGCTAGTTTGAGCCAGGCTGTGGCAAAACACCGGGTGATTGATTGCCAAACGTCTTCATATGTACAATTCACAAATTTTATACAAATAATACCTAACCATTTTATGTTGCTAATTTTGCAGCCGCGATAGCAACATTGCTAGATGGTTGCCAGCGAGCAAGAAAGTCTTAGGTTCGAATCTATATCTCCCCGTGTGGGTTTCGGGACCATATTTGAGGAAGGGAAAATAATCTTCTTAGGGAAAAAGACTTAACCAAGTCAATACATTTTAATATCTGGGAAAAATGTGTGACCGAGATTAAAAGCAGAATAGGTCAAGCGAAAGCTGCATTTCAGAAAAAATTGTTAAATTGTTACAAAGAACCTGTTCTGCTGTATGGCAGCGAATCTTGTCACTGAACAAATTAAGAAGAATTTGGAAGCAACAGAGATGTGTTTTCCGAGACGAATGTTACGAATACCTTGGACGGCCAGAGTAACTAATAACGATTGCTTGAAAGAGGCTAATGAAAGTAGATCTCTATATACAACAATAAGAAAGAGACAAACAATGTTCTTTGGCGACATAATGAGGAGAGAGACATTGGAGAACATCGTGACAACTGGAAAGATCAGTGGAAAAAGGGGTAGAGGCAGACCAAGAGAGAAGATGCTGGATGGGCTAAAACGATGGCATGAAGGGATATCATCAAGAGAGCTGTTCCAGCCAACCAGGGATCGTCATCTGTGGAGACGCATGAGCGCCTACGCCAGTTTGCAGGGCACATGATGATGATGATGATGGAGAATAGCCTGTCGTAGCATGTCGTAAAAGATGACAAATTAGGCTGTTCCCTTCTGCGCCGGAATGCATCTGCCTAAGAGACAAGGAACCAGCATTCTAAATACAAATGAGCTAGATCTGTAAAATGGATGTACTGGCGAAACTCAAGTTCTGCAACAAGACAAGTGGACGAACAACCAATCCTCTGGGATTGGCAGCTGCTAAACGGCAAGAGAAGAAGACGAAGAATCTATATCGAGACGAAAGTTTATAATTGATCTATGTCTCCTAGATCATCCCATCTTAGAATGGATTTCATGAAATGTGGAGAATAAAAGAGGTTATTGACCACATTATGTGTCTAGTGCTGATTGGTCTATAGAATATGTATCCAACACCATCCAGCATCATGTGCCGGATAGTCCAACGGCGCGAAAGGTTCTTTTACTTGTTCCTGTAAACCTATACAAAACATGTTAATTGTACTCTGCCGCTGAGCTGTGGAACCATCTTCCACAACAAAATCAAAACACCGAGCAGTGCCAATCTCCTCAGACCGTAATGATCTATCTGTTCCTCGGCACTGTTCACTCGCTTTCAAAGGGTCCTCACAACATCTTGCTTGTCATACATCAGTTCACCACCAAATGGAGCAAAACCAACCAGTCTATCGGCCTGCTCATTTCCCAACATACCGGCATAACCTGAGTGAAATCATGTATCAACGGGAGGAAATGGGAAAAAAAAAAAAAAGGCAGAATA